ATGGAACTTTCCAGGCAAGAATACTGGCATGGGTTGCCATTTCCTACTCCAGGGGATCTCCCTGACCCAGGGATTGAACCAGTATTTCCTGCACCTCCTGCACTGGCCGCAGATTCTTTACCACTGAGCCACCTGGGAAGGCCCTGTGAGGTGCTATAGACAGTCAGAGACGGTTAGGATGTGGTCACCGTCCTCAAGACTCATGGTGGAGACCATGGAGCCATTGCCTCCCAGAGAGGTTTGGGCAAAATGACCTCTGGGCAGATTCACTCGTTCAGTCATTAGACGGGTCATTTCCTGAGCACAAAGTAGGTGCCGAGAACTGTACTCAGAGCAGCGACAGAGCAGGGAGTAAGAGACTCCGCCCACTTAGGTATTCTGCTACATTTGGGGCGTGGTGTGGACTGGGCAACTTGATCTAGACTAGGGAGAGCCTTCTGGAAGGTTCCAAAAGCACAAAACCTGGAGATGCTCCAGAAATTATCACCCCAGGGGCTGTCTTCCAGGGTGGGGCTACTGCTTGGCAAAGCTCAGGAGATTTTATCCAGTGCAATTAGAGGGGAATTTCCCTCCAAGAAAACTAGCCATGGTCAGGAGGTCCACAGGATGGCCCACTGAACTCCACTCCTTGTCCGGGGCTGGAGCCAGGCCTTCCTAAGGAGCAGGCAGTCCCAGGCAGGACTCCTTCCCTTCAGGATGGCTCCCTGCTGCCCCCTCATGGAGAGCCTAGGGAAGTGACCTTTGAGAGGGCTGCCCAAGCTGGCTTCAGCAAGATGAGGTGAGCAAGCACCCCCATTTCTGGGCACCTACTATGTGCTTATTGTGGTTTAGTTGCTCAGTCGTGTCCAAGTCTTTTGCAACCCCATGGGCTGCAGCTCTCCAGGCTCGTCTCCTGTCCTGAGCTCCTCTCTACCTGCTCCCTGTCCTCTGAGCCCCAGGCAACCCGACCCTACATGTGTATAAATAGAGGCACTAGGTCTCCATGAAAGGAACCACAGCCCCCCCCTCCCCCCTCCATCCCTGGTGCTGCCAACCATCCCAGCTGCTCCCAGGCTTGGAAACACCCTGGCCAGCTGGGTTCCTGCAAGGCCCTGTCCTAGGAGCTGCTGAGGCACGAGGGAGGCAGCTGAGCTGGCCTGGCAGAGACCATCTGGGCTGAGAGTGGGGGGAGGAACACGTGCAGTGGGCATGTGGGCCTGGGCACGTGCTGGGAAGTTGCCCTCCACGGGGCACATGCTGCACGGACAGCCCTGCAGAGGCTCCAAGGTTGATACATGGTAGACACCGAGGAGACCCAGGGGGCCCATGTCTTCATGCCCAAGCCTAGGCAAAGGGGGATGGAAGGGAGGACCTCGTGGCCAGGGCCAGCTGCCCACTCCTGCATCCCAGGACACAAATGGCAGCAGGAGTCACAGACCTGGGAGGGCCCCAGTGCCCCTGGTTTACACGCATGGCCCTCAGCTCCCTCTGCTCTGCCCCACCGTGGCCTCTAGAGAAGGGGCATCCTTCATGATCTGCCCTTAGGGGACCATGGGCAGCTAATGAAGTCCAGGTACAGCTGCCCAGGTTAGCTAAGAGGGACGGCGCTCCTCAGAGACAAGCGCTACATGGAGGCAGCACTGGTTCCAACTGAGTCCTGAGAACAGTGTAGCCCAGGGTCATAAGCAGAACTGAGAAAGACACAGGAATAGAATCTCGAGCAAACACTGGGGGTGCCCAGGGGACCTGCTATGGAGCCTCAGAGGCAGCAGCAGTGGGCAGATGTCAAAGGTCAAAGGGCACAAAGGAAACTACGCTCTGGATATCTTTAGGCACATCCTGGTGCTGGGAACAGGTGTCCCAAGGTGGCATTCCCTTCCACAGACGGGCTAGCTGGCAGAGCCTGGGGTCTGGGAAGCTCAGCTGCAGGGGTTCTGGGACCTTGGGATTCAGGCTCTCTGTGCTGCCCAGGTGGGTCCCACATCATCCCTGCCTGCCTGCCCCCATCCTTTCAGGGTCACCCCAGAGAAAGCAGAGCAGCCAGCGAGTCCTCAGAGGGTTTCTTAAGTTTCACAGGATTCAGAATCTCCATGAGGGAGGGGCAGAGCCGCACTCCACTTCCTGTTACAGGCCCATGGCCATTCCAACACTTCTGGCAAGAAGGAAGCCAGACTTGATCCTATCATGGCATCTACTCCCCCCTAGCAAGTATGCGGGTCTGGAGACCTCCATCTCTGCCCACACCTGAGCACTCAAGAGCTCAGGCTGGCTCAGGAATACTTTGAGGAGAAGCCTTCCTCATTCAGACTTGGTCCAATCAGGAGTGGGCCAGACCAGAGTGGGCCTGAGGGGCTGGAACTGGAAGTTCAGGACCAGGCAGGAGAGAGGGTCCTGAGCCTGGGGCACAACTGTGTGGCTGCCTCCCTAACAGCGTCTCTCTGGACTGAGGACTTAAGAGTCCCAGAAATCCCTGGTGAGAGACAGAGCTTGTTTGGGGAGGGCTCAGCAAGAGACCCGAGGTCGTCAGTCTCTCACCGAATGAGAATGGCAACAGGAGAATCCACGTGGGGAAGGGAGGAGCCAAGGGCAGGGCCGTGCTCAGCCACCGGCTTCCTCCCGGGCAGCTGCCCAGTCTCACTGCTTCTTGAGGCAATATCCCCAGAGAAGGAATACAACGACCGTCTTGGGTATTTTCCTGGCTTCTGATTCCAGAGCTGGCCTGCTCCGTCCATCCATGAGCCATCCATCCATGAGCTGGCCCTGCTCTTGCCCTCTGCTTCACACCACCTCTCCTGTGCTCTGAGGCAGTGGGCAGTGAAGAGCCATGACTTGGGGAAAAGGGAGAGGGATGTGTCCTGAAAGATCTCACAAGAGGATTCAACATGAAATGTTGTATGCTATTTTTCGAGTGGAAGAAGAGAAAAATCAGTCTCTGAGGACCCCTTGAGCAGCCCCTACTGAATGCCCCCCACAGCAGGCAGAGTACAGGATGAGGGTGCTGGGGTGTCAGCCACAGGACAGCCCTCCCGGCAGGACCGACTGCAGCCTGATCTCCAGGGCATCTTGTGACGAGGGTGGGGACTGTGCTTCCTGCCTCCCAGCATGCCTTTGGGGCTCTGCAGCAGGATCTGCCTGCTGTGGGCTCCGAACAGCGTCAGTATCTAACCTGCTGGGTGAGGGACTGCCTGCCTGGGCCTGCGATAGCCCTAGCACTCAGGAGCCCTGGCAGTGCCAGACTCGGGGCCCCGCAGAGCATCCTAGGCCCTCCTGTCGGGGCCAGCAGCTGACAGCAGGCCCCAGAAGGGACAGATGGTGCCCATGGCCCCCACCCCTTCGCTGCTGTCTGGTCCCTGTACTCACCAGCATCCCTTTGGCACATTTTCCTTCCATGGTGGTAGTGGGTGAGGGGCTCTGGAGTCCTAGCTCACACTCACAGGCTTTGTTTCTAGCACCTTTCGGAGTACAGGCCTCCAGAGCTGTAGAGAGAGCAGAGAATGAGGCTAGGACATGGCCTGGGGAAGGCAGGGCAGGGCGTGTGTGGCTCCAGAGCAGGCAGTGGAGAGAGCAGAGAATGAGGCAAGGACTTGCACGGGGAAGGCAGGCAGGGTGTGTGTCGCTCTCCAGGACAGGCAGTGCAGGCCCCAGACCCCCTGCTGCTCTTCCCCCCCATCCTGTTCCTTTCTGAATGACCCTCAGTCCAGTGCCTACCTCATTCTCCTCCCAACCCTTCCCCTGAAACCCTTGGTCTCCAGGCTTCCTGTCCCAATGCAAAGGTTTATTTTTGACTCTCCAGATGTCCAATTCTATTTAAAAAAATAAAATAAAGGACACAGAACTCGGACAAGGTCCAATCCCTTCATCGTCTCTGTGAATGGCCTCAACCTTCGCCTGAAGGGGAGTCAGCTTGGATCAGCACCTGCTCCCCCACCTCACCCCAGCCCGGTGGCCAGGACGGGCCTTCCCTATCCTGATGCTGCTCAGCCTGGGCTCCCGGCATCTGGAGTTACATCACTCACTTGGACCAGAAGCTCTGGGCACAGAAAACACAGCATGTGCATGCATGCCTCCATGCCCTTGCTCAGGCGGGCCCCTGCCGAACACCATCCCTCCTGGTCCCCAGGTGAAATCCCACAAACCCTCTGGGATCCAGCTTCAGCGTCACCTCTCCTCTGCTGCTCTTCCTGGCATGGCCCCCTCCCCTCCAGGAGGAGCAAAGTGCCTTCTCTTCTGTGCTTTGCGCTACCAGTCTTCTTATAAACTCACTCGAGACATGTTTGCTTATGTCTGTCCACTGTGGGGTGGGCAGTTCCCTGAGCAACTGGATGTGTTTTATTGACCCCTCTGTGCCCTGCTCAGCCTGCCCCCAATCTTTCCCAGCATAAGAGTCTTTTCAAATGAGTCAGTTCTTCACATCAGGTGTCCAAAGTATTGGAGTTTCAGCTTCAGCATCAGTCCTTCC